ACAAAATTGATGTCAACTTGACTGCTGACAGGTACAAGCAGATTCTTATCAATCATGATTAATAGACACTTGAAGAAAAGAGGTCGTTGGACACCTGCAACCACTGCTTACCCTGAACAAAGGCCCGGTATGAATATTATTAATACTATATGGACTTAGATTTGAAACCGAGAATTAAAAACCAAAAAATATGGCGAATTATGAGGACAGGACACTTGAAACAATATTTCATAACTATACGTTGATGGTAGTATAAAAAGGGTATACTACTCTGCTTAAAGCTAATAAGTAATAGTAGTGTATGGCATGATTTATTCTCTTTTCTTTAGTATTTTATGCATTTTGTACTAATGATAAATTGGCCATTCATCTGCCCGGCATGGCCAGGTGGTTAGGGCGCTCGACTCGCAATCTGAGGGTCGCGGGTTCGAATCCCCGTCATACCAAACATGCTCGCCCTTTCAGCCGCGGGGGTGTTATAAGTGACGGCCAATCCCACTATTCGTTGGTAAAAGAGTAGCCCAAGAGTTGGCGGTGGGTGGTGATGACTAGCTGCCTTCCCTCTAGTCTTAAACTACTAAATTAGGGACGGCTAGCGCAGATAGCCCTCGTGTAGCTTTGCGCGAAATTCAAAAAACAAACAAACCATCACAAAACAAGACTACAATTTTCGATGATTAAAATTAGTTTCAGTTTTTGACGTGTCTGAAAGGATCGTTAAACCTAACTATCCAAGAGCTAATGTATAAAATAAGTTTTAAGATTTACGCTTAACAATAATCAACTAACTATAATATTATAATCTTAAGAATATACAAAATCACCTTCTGTATTTTTGCAATTCTCGTGTGTTATTTAGGTAATAATCGAAAAGAAATTTTACAGAACTGTAAAAAATATACGTTTACACGTGTTCCCACTAGGGGGCTGTTTCATTTTTCAACGCTTTCTTATGAATGATTATCACACTTGAAAGTATAAATTATGGCATTCTCTGGTTGAAAGAAAAGGACAAAAAAGTTTTGATGAAGCCTAAAACTACAAAAACAACCTCAATTAATTTCGTCATGAACTCGAAACAGATGTAGTTCAAAACAGCTATCAGATATTCTGATTTTCGACTTTTATAACTTTTATGTTAATGTCTATGTACGTCAGTCATAAGAAACTCTTAAAAAAATCACAAAATTGTACAAATAAAATTTATTATTGATATTATACACGTGTTTCTTCCAGCCTTCTTTTTAAAGATTTTTGTACACTCCTGTCTGTGAAAGTATAAAAGTTTCACGTTGTTTTATATCTAACAAAATGTGTGTTATACTGACAAATGTATGAGGCATTTCGATCTTTAACTAGTGTTGCTGCTGCCATCTAGCGATAGCTAATTACAATATATAAACGTGCTGAAATGAAATGCTGAATAAATACTTTCTCGTCAATAAACAAAAGAAATTGTGAATAGCCGCAAGTAAACAAAACTGATATTGCGCAAGGCATTTAATATAAAAAAAGTAAATTAAAGAACTGGTGAGAGAAAGAGCATCAAACGAAAGAAAATTGTTATGTAACCAAAGGAATCAATCAGGTAACATCGATCGTGTACTGTCAATGAGCGAAAATAAATCTAGTAATAAGTTTCGGCTGTATTTCATTCACCGTTTTAATTAAACTTTTAATGGAATTGAACAGGAAAACGAGACTATTGTTGCTTATTTTTACCGCTTTATCGAAAGACGAGGTGTTTGTATTTTTGATATACTTTACAATAGAATATTAATTGTTTGTTTGTTTGTTTGTTTG